AAAACCACTGAATACTTCAGGGTGAAGAAAGCATGCCTAACAAAGACACATACAAGAAGGTGTACAGTAATAAGGAGTACACCTAGACCTAATGAGTCCCAAACGCAGAGGAACCAAATAAGGAAGGACAGAGACAGAGAGGAGGAACAAAGCTACAAAGAGAAGGGAACAAAACTCTCCATAACATCACAGATGAAGTGTCCCCAACAAAAGGAGGATGGAAGAGAGGTAACTAGAAAATGGGGAACTACAGTGTGAAATAGCAGGAAAGGAGTATGTTCCCCAAAAAACAGATTCTAACTGCATGGAATCTAGAAAAAGAAAGGAAGAATGATTGTAAGTCAAGACACGATTGTGAGGGGGGACGAGGTGTATGAATACAAGTGTGGAGCTGTTCAAGAAAGGAAACAGTATAAACCTTAAGAAATGCAAAGGAAGAATGACAAAGCAACCCCAAGAATTGGATTCATTTGATAAAGAACGGGAAATATTAAAGGACACAGGCAAAAGATAATGAAAAAACATATCCAGTAAGAGTTTGAAAGGTTGAGGCTATTTCTAGATCAGTAAGGCATTACCCAAAACAAGTCACATTAAAATCTTCGTCCAACTAGCCACTCACAACTGAGGAGAAATAATGGTGGCTGAAAAGAAGGGCGGAGGAGGCCTAGTAAACAGGAGGTAATCCACAACACATTGAGCAAAGTCTGTAATGTTTCCAAGAGTTATTGAGCCTCCAAAAGCCATAGTAGAAATAGGGCCTGTGTGCAACTTCATCGTTCACATAGGACAAGTAGAAGTCATCACCATTAGAGAACTCATGAAAATAATTAAACCTTTTCAAACATAACCCAAATTTTCATCAAATTAAACTTGGATAAGAAATTTTGAGCATGTCTATTCAATGCTGAGGAAAATAATGAAATTATCATGAGTGCAATTGCATAGGGGCAGTTACCACACATGGAGGTTGTGTCGTTCTCCTACGTTAATTTAGGTGGTATTTAGCTCAAGGCTAGTGGCATGTAAATCTTGAGGCCTGGTTTTTAAGGCATCTGAGAGTCGTAGGTTTGAATCCTCACCACCAAACATGCTCACCCTTTCTGCTGCAGGGGTAGGGATTATTATGCAATGGTCAATCCCACTTTTCTGTTGACTAGCTGCCCCTCACTCTTGTTTCTCACTGCTAAATCAGGGATGGCTAATGCAAATTGGCCCTCATGTAGCTTTATGCACAATTCAAAACAAACCAGACCATGCAAATTTTATAGGCAAACATGCAAGGGATATAGCACTAGTGTATGAGGAGGTAAGTTATCATCTCGGAAGTAATTATTTCTACAAATTAGCATAAATTTTAAAAAATTGAAGTTTTGAAAAGTTTGTTTATTTAGCGAAAAGCTGAACAACTGGCTCTCTGTGCCATCCTTTTCCACAGAATCGAGCCCCTGAAGCTTAATGTTGAGCCACCAGGGAATACGTTATTAAAAGAAAATTGCTAAGGTATGATTATCTGTAATTAAAACATTGACTTAATTTTCGAATCTGGCAATAAAACTAAAACTAGATTCCAAGAACACTTCACAACCTTCTGTCACAATTCCTTCTATATGCTAATAGTTAATTATGAAAGTGTGAACTATACAACACTCACAAACTTAGTTTCAGGGCTATATTTAGTATAAAAACAAACAAAAAAGAAAAGCTAATGAGTGTCTTACACAAGTTTGCCAGTTTATGTAATACTAGAATAATGTATCCGGCACACAAGCCATTCCATTGTTAAGTTCAATATAAAATTATAACACTTTTTTTTCTGCTGTTTCCACACATAATGGCCTGTGGTCTAAGCATCTTAAGTAAAGCATGTATAACTTGCACAAGATGCATTCTGCATTTTCTAATAGGAAGATTATTCATTTGTGTATCCACATTAAAGTTGTTCAAATTCATTATAAATACAAATACATTTTTCAATTCAACAGAGGGTTCAGATTGATAAAGAAATTTATTTCAGTACGAAATGGTGATGAAGACCTAACATAATACATGAACGTTATTTAGTACAGACATACAACATGATATTACAACTTTTAATAACAAGAGTACAAAACTATACTGTAACAATGTCAGAAGTCTTAAACCTATGAAGCTTAACTAACCCCCATGTTTTACAACTACATCAGAATTTTTGTTACTAAACATATAAAGCACAGTGATATCATTCTAATAAAAGAAACTGCAAGTATTTATGTGTATACAAGAAACATTTTGGTTTCTTAGTGCTATTTTAAATCTATACAAATGTGCTCAAATGCATTAAATTTGAAATGCTTTTTAAATGTACCAAATGTGTGAAAATGCCAAAAAATTAAGCTGGGATGACTTGTATGAATATAACACAGCCTATTTAAAAAACATCAGAATATGAGATTTATACATGGAACATTAAACACATAAAAGGGCTTTCATACTAGCAGTGGATCTATTTCCAAAGTAATGTTTTAAACTAATATTCTAAACTTTGTTTTCATCTTATATTTGAAACAAAAAAATTAAATGCTCTATTTGTGGTTCTTAAGACAGTGCAAGGGTGCTTAAGAATTTTGACAAAAAAAACTTAATTCACCATTTCTTTAATTGTAATGTTCCAATATAATTCAACACAGTAGACAATTTATATACTTTAAATTACAAAATAATAACTACACAGGCTTGATTTAAAAGGAGAAAAATTCAAATTGCTCAGAGATCTAGTAAAAGAACTAGTTTAAAACAGAAAATCAACTAAAACATTTGGGAAGTTGTTTTTACTTACAATGAAAAATATGAAGGTACAATAAAAAATATTGGTAGAATGCTTTCTTTTATATTCTTACTATATCTTTTAAAGTTTTCCCTAAACACATTGGTTTCTGAATACTAAAGGAAGAAAAAATTAACAAAATTTAAATTTATGTGTTTGTTTGTTTGAATTACACAATGGGCTATCTGTGCTCTGCCTACCATCGGTATCGAAACCCGGTTTCTAGCATTGTAAGTCCACAGACATACCGCTGTGCCACTGGGGGGGCTAAATTTATGTGAAACTGGCTCATATTTCTTTTAAGAAAACCTGTAAAATGGTTTTAGTTCAAGATCTTTAATGAACTAGTAACAGACACAACAGAAAGTTCACAAATACAAGGATATTAAACTATATTTTTTTTATTCTGGGCCATATTTAGTTTGATAATACTGGTATATGTGAAAATGAATGTATATCTATTCTATAAAAGTTCTATTTCAAGATGTACATGTGAGAAAAAAACTATACTTCATTACAGTTGCAAGTAGTTTGTTACTGGTAAGCTTTTTGAATTAAAAAAAACACCATTTGGTGATGATTAAACATTATCAGTATACGAAAAAAAAACATTTCATGATTAATATTTTAAGCTGTACATCAATAGAAGGAAAACATGTTATAAATGAACGAACAATTATACTTGAAGTCACATATTTCTCTTTCCACAGTGCAAGCAAATGCTCCTCAACATTGTGATAGAGAAGAATAAACAAGTATTCTTTGTGTTACATCATACTGTGAAACATATGAAATATTGTAAAAATAAACATTTCACACAGATGTTATGTTGAAAAACTTTCCTGTGCTCAAAAATCTCTGCTGTAATGCAACAAATCTCTTAAAGTAAGACTTCCCAAGTAGCTAGGTAAGGTTCTGGGACCCTTACTCAATTAGTTTACTGTTCTAACAAGTAATGCTGTTATATTTTGCATTTTTGTTTTATTTGTTCTAAAACAATTCAGAACAATTATTTTGCAAATGATTTAAAAAATATAAATGTGGTTCTTTTTTTTACTGTGCCTTGTTCTGTAACCCACAGTTTGGAAACCAGTGCATTAAACAAAGTTTGAAAATCAATGCTTACTGAAGAACATACATATTAATAAAGCTTATTAAATAAACATTATAACATCTAATCAAATAGAGTATGCTTCTTTAGTTTATATCTGAAATATGTAAATGACAGAAATATTAATACTAGCTAATTAATATATAAAGATAACAAGCATAAAATCTGTTAGCATGAAAAATGTTAGTCAATATGGTACTTCTTATGAAGTGACTTGGGTAACATTCTACCTATTACACACATACACACACACCATGCTTTAAAATACATCATCAATTTGTACTTAAATGTTTTAAATCTTTGAACAGTCTCACAATTTTGGTAAACCACCAGATTATTAAGACTACTCTATGTGAGAAAATAAAATTTATGAAGAAATGCCAAGTTCAGTTCAAGTTCAATATATACATATATAGAGAGAAATACATTATTTATGCTTCAAACAACAAAAATGAAAGATACTGGAAAAGTAATTTTAAAAGCAGAATCCTGAATTAATTTTATAACAAATTCAGGTAAAACATTGATAATTAAGTCAGTATTAACCAGTCTCTCTGCCATTATTGCAGATTTTTTTAAAGCATTTGTAACCCATTAAGGATAGCCTGCAACTATAATGCATTTTATAATAGATATACACAGAAATGTGCCATAATGCCATAAAATAATAACTTGTGTCATACTTCATATAACCACTAATACTGGCTTTTTGCTCTGGCTGTTCATACCACAAAGACTTGAACAGCTTTGTTAGATAAACTTTCAAACATATCTATGAAACAATAAGCATCTGTATTCATGTGACAATATAAGAATATAAATATTATATAGTAAGATATCTACTTTCACATGTAAAGTTCATCTTTCTAAACTAGCAATGTGTTCAGTAAATAATGACTTTAAAACCTCTCAGTAAATGCAATCATATAAACTGCACACAAACAGACAAAAACAAAACATGCATTTACTGGATAATTTATATTTATAACAAGTTTGAAATTTAACAGCATGTAGCATTTTAGTACTTCTTTCAAGAAAAATTCTCTGTATCCATATATATATATATATATATATATATATATATATATATATATAATTGTTTCTCTCACATACACTGTAAAAACAAAAAATTGTAATATGTAAAAAAACCTCGTATCCATTAATTGCTTTAACAACTTGCTTTTTTTCTTCATCCTTTCAAGGTCTTAAATAACATCCTTTACTTATCCCCTAAACAGTTCTTTTGTCTGAATAATACAGAAATTTTGTAAAATAGGAAAGAAAAAAAAAGTATTATTGTTACATTATTATATCAAAGATGTGTTTTTGTTGAGTATTGGTCACATTTGGAGTGAATCTTTTGACTAATGCATTTTCAGAATGTTTTGATTGAATTACCCAGAAAAGTTTAATTTCTAAAATACTAGAAAAGTACTCAAAATTCCACCCCTTTCTACTTACAAATGCACATTTAACACTGTATAAAAAGCACCATAGGTAATAAGCTCTATTTAGGAAGAATGAAATAAATGCAGTAGTTTAAGAAAGCTCTTCATTTGATTCTCCAAAATCTACTACACTGTTGTGATATATACTGTCACAACAAATCAATCAGTTTGTACACACACAGGCTTGTAGCTAGAAAGTAAGTAAAATGACCTTTCCTTCCCACTGAAGCCCCTAAAGTAATTTACATAAACACTCAATACTCTAATTTGGAAGAAAGCCATTAGCCAAGATTTGGTTCATATTGATTTGAAACTGTTATTAATAAGACTTATGCAATCTTGAAAAAGTTTTGCTTTTCTGATCTTAGATTAGCAAATTCCAAAAATATAAAAATATATAAATTTCGGATACTTTCATGTTTTTGTTTTTTTTAAGATACCATACCTCTAAATCTATGTCAATGAATACAATAGAAACTTTTAAAAATATAGCTATTTGAAGATACCTAATAAATAATCCCATTGATTTTTCACCCATTTAAGTTTCGTACAGTTTTTCACAAAACAGCTGATGCAATTGAATTATTTCATAAATGAGAAAAGCAAAGGCTAGAATAACCCAATTATTAATTATTTTCCACTAATAAACTGGTACTTACTATACAACATTAATTTTTGAATAAAAAACACTTATAGAAAACATCAGCGTGTACACCATTTTGATGTTTGTATCCCTACAAAATAAAACCAAAACCTACCATTACGATAACTGCGGACACTTATAAAACATTACACCTGCAGTATCATTAAAATCTACTAGCTGAAACAAATTTAGTAGCACTTCCACATATTCACGTTTAGCACACTTTCAGTAAGTAGCAGAGTTCTCATTTGATTCTACCCTTGACCAGGATAAAAGGGAATACTTCTTGACGTTAGAGTTTTAACAAATTGTTTAGTAAATAACACCAATTTTGTCAAATTGGCAGTAGTAACAAGTTAAATATCAAACATTGCACCAAATTATTACTTATATTACAACATCCATAATTTGAAACTAAAATATGAAAGGTACTTGTATCTTACTTTGATCTCATACCTATGTTTAATAATGCCTTATTTTAGAGCATTACTACCAACTACTAAATATGCCAATTTTTATTTTCTGAACAAAGTTTTTTACTATAAACATGCAAGCCAAATTGAAAGTAATCAAAGATTTTGATTCTTTTAATAAAAGTATATTCTTCATAATATACACAACAAATACTTGCTGTATGAATTACATAATGTGAAATGAAAATTTAGAATTACTTTAACATGCCAAAACATATTACAGATTAGTATGTACATAATTTACTTTTTGTACTCACACTGAATGGTACAGTTTTAAGAGTTTATATTCATAGGATAGCTTTCTCAAGAAACTTTCAAACACAATTTCTTTTATAATTTTTTTCTTTTCAGCACTTACATTGCAACGTAAATTCCAATAATCAATTTTAAGTACATATGCTATCAACGTTTTTCTAAAAAGACCTTGTACTGATACATTTTAACAGATCCTATAGCTTTAAGAAGAAATTGTACTTGTCACAACATTAACTTGTGTTGGTGTGCTTTAAATATTATATTCATTTTATGTTTCTGTGGTACTGTACAAGCTAGATATTCAGTGTCCAAATACTATCTATTATTTTTGAATATGTCTAAAAACATGTTTAAACACAAAAGTTGATGGTTTGAACAAAATAATCTATGTAAAAATAAATACACGACAATGACTGTAATATTACCAGAATAACACATTCTTACTAAGAGTACTTAAAGCCAGAAAACACTACAGTTTACATAATCACAGAACTTCTGAATGTCAGTTGTTTTGTTAAAACTCACAAGAAATTTGTTTTCTTACATAACCATCCAAATGATTGTATAACAATACTGTTCAACAAATATAAAATGTACAAAATACAAGATGATTAACAAGTCTAGGTGCTCTCTTCCTCCTATCCTGTATCTACAACAATGTTGGATTCTGTAACTTTAAACTAATCACTGACAAGATTTATCACAAAAGAATTCTTGCAACTTGGACAAATCTCCGGTACTCAACAAAGTATTAATTTTAACACAGTTCTAACTATCCAAGGCACCAAAGCTTCTTATTACATCAAATTTGTTCATTATGGCAGATGTTAACAGATAAAAAAACACGCGCCAAAGTAAATTGTGGTCATGATATCCCAACCTATCAATTATATAGCATAAGTTATAATACGAAAGAGTTTAAATAAATGATAATGCAATTGGTATATAATACCGAAAACAAAAATTTCACCTATGATGAATGAATTCTACTTTTAAAACATACATAAAAATGTTTCATCGTAGCTATTGTGGATAAATTCTCTGATGGGATTATAGCTGAAAATCATTATAAGTAGAGCATGCAATCTAATCTCATAAATTTAAAGCACTTAAAATGCATATCAATATACAGCTAAACATCTCACAACCAGATGGATTCGTAATGAATTTTGTTTACTAATTATAAGCTGATTTTATTTATTCAACAAGAATCCACAGTGAAGGAAGTTCAAGATAACACTCTCATTAAAATCTAAATAAAGCTACCAAGAAGCTAAATAATACTGCTCACATTTTCACAAGTAGAGATGGCAATATTTTTTTTTCTTCTTAAAAAAATTGTACATTTTCTAAATCTGACTTAAAACATCTATTTTTACTTGGTAATGTACATCTCTATTTTATATATTATGTGATATATATGTAAACAAATATAATGGAATACCATGATCTACCAAAACCAAGGTAAATACAATCTTCCCAAAAGATTGAAAAAATAATTCTTTACTGCAAATATCTTTTTAATTAACAACTTTCAATCACCTACTATATTATTCTGGTTACAATAAACACCTTTAAATACCTGAAAGCAGTAAGTTTTAATAAAATAATATATATCTGTATTATCTGTGAGAATTTATTATCCAGGATAAATGTTCAGAAAGTGATAGTCACATTCATGACACACCAGAGCTAGTACTGAAACTAAAAGCTGACACACAACAATTCATTCATTTCTTTTGTTTGCATCTTTTCTTGAAGTACAGATGACACTAAGATAATTAGAAAAATAAACTAACTTTATTGGAAATGACTAAAGGAATGAAACCTAAAATATTAAGTTATTCACAACTGTGAACTTATGATATTTAAAGTTGTAAAAGGAATACTTTGCAGTTATGATAAAAATAACAGAATACTATGCATTAAAACATTTCTAATTAATGTATCTTTCAGATATTTCATTATGGAGGGAAAATAATTTTATTATAGAAACTTAAGTGATATGTTACTAGTCAAACAAGTTTATAGCAATTAAAGAACTTAGACATTATTATAATTAATTATTTGTGTGAATTAGCTCAATAAGAATGCACTATTTTTTATGTTGATTCTCAATTTACATCCTTTGAAAATCTTTTCAAGATGAAAATTATTTACTGTACATATATGTTAAGTTAGCTTTAATATACAACAGAGAAGTCTATGTTACACATGTTCATATATACAAATCTGAGAGCAAGAACATTCCTACTGGTTCATCAGTTTCTAGCATCTTAATTACTAACACAACAGTATATTTTTAGCAACATCTTGGATAATAAGACAAATAACACATTTGTAGCATCTTTTGTATTAACATAATAAAGTAGCCTGTTTCTATCATTCTGATTAATAACAACAATAAAAGATTACCAGTTTTCTACATCCTGGGTAATCATGTAGCAACATGATCAGTTTTTAAGTTTTCTGGATAAAAATAAAACAATACGCATCCACAGCAATAGCTCAACATCCTGAATACAGTAATAAGCTTTGTTTTTAGTATCATAGAGATAACATTACAATAAATGCTGATGTGCAAATCTTCACATTTTCAGGAATCTTCTCATGCCACCTGTGACAAAATTAACAAGAGAGTCTCCCTGCACACTGCAACCAAGTTGTATTGTGTATTAATGAATACATAAGTTCATAAAAAAACCATGCTGCTTACATTTAGTACATCAGGAAATTGTTGATAATGAAACAATTTTATGTGAATAGAACATGAAAATGACAGGGAAATGTGGGTTTTCTTACACCCACACATCACAACCTTTAATTTCCACTGTCAATTTTCATTTAATGAAATTAAAAACCAACACAGTAAAACAATTAACAAATTAGAATACTCTGTTAGTACAAATAATCTACTACTTGTAATTTTAATTTGGATTTGCCTAAATTCTAAAATGTTTTTAAACATAAACTCCTTAACTATGCCTATATAAACAGTCTGAGAAGCAACATTTAAGTGTATTAGAATATTTGGACGGGAAAAAAATTAGTTTGTGAGGTGAAAGTGTAACATGTGAAATATTTTTCATTGTTTGGACAATACCTAGGCAATAATATCAAAAATACTCCATAGGAGTAGTCTGACATACCCAAATTTGGCAAGATTCAACTCCTCCTGCAAAATATGGCACAATAATCCAAATACAAAAGAAAACAAAATTCACCTCACAAAGCTACAACATCTGCTAGCCCTCCTGAAATATCACTCAAAATGTCTATGAGATGATCTTTTTCATGAATCTGGTGACAAATTACTCTAGGTTTGATGTCTTCTTTTTCAAAACATATGGTAAATCTAGATAGACCAGTGTTAGGACTAATTCGCATTGCTTGCTTCTTTCCCCCAGGAACAACACACCCAAGATCCTCAACAAAATGACGAATAAGCTCTTTCAGCCAGCCACCATGTGTCACAATTAACACATCAGCCATCAGAGGAAGGGCATCTTCCATGTCATCACTGGAACTACATCCAGAGTTCCTACGCTCTAGATAGGAAACTGTAAGGTTGTTCTGTTCTTCTACTAAAGGAGATAAAGAGACATTAGGACAATTGCAGTTGTCACAGTTGCTGGTGCAAGGACTGAGGGATGAACGTATTACGCTGTCTTTAAATGTGAGTGAAGCTTTGCTACTTCCTTGGGCACCCACAATGACATTGGCTGGTGGTGGAAAGGTATGAGCACAGGAAACTATGGACAAATTCTTTGTACTCTGAGATGACTTCTCTTTTTGTGGAGAATTTCCATCATTGACTTGACCAACAGGAAATTCAAAGTGTCCTCCTTCTTTGCTGAGAATAGATGGGAATTGAAAATCAGTAAGCTTATTTCCATTCTCACGAACAACAGAAATTGGCAGTTCAGAAACTTGGTTAAGAGGGCAATTTGTTAAGCCTTCATTTCTCAGTTGACCACTGTTTGGAACATCCTCATTGTTTGTAGCAATACATGCAGTATCATGAAATCCACAATCACTGTGAGAATCTTCACGTTTTCTTTTAGCTCCAGCTAGTCTCTCACCAACATTGTCTGTTCTGTTTGTACTTGCACTGTGACTGGGCTGTTTGACCAGTCTTTCACTGCTGTCTTCAAACACTACAACAGAAGATGAAACATTCTGATAGTTGCTTTCTTCCTCATCTCTCATCTTCTGACAAAGATCTTTGAAGAATGCCATTACTCGTTGACGAAGCTGCACAACATTCAACAGTAAAGTTATTTATTTATTTATTATAGAAATTTACATCAAGCATAAAAAGTTTCACTTTAATAACTTACTGATACAAAGCATATAAACAATCTTTAAAGAAAAAAATCTGTTTTGCTAAATAAATATACTATCAGTACACAGGTGCATGTCAAATTTTGCCAAGTTGGAAATTAATTAAGATTTTTTTTTGCTACATTTCTCTCCAATTTCTGCAAAGTTTTCACAAAAATAATAAGAGCAACTGAAAATGATATATTTATATATTTTATTTTGATCATATTCCAAATGTATGATTAAATATACAAACAATACCACCTCTATCTTTATTATTTATGCCTCTGAAGATAATCTATAACTTAAAACTTTAATATAATCAAGAAAAATTTTATATGAAAATTAAATTCCATTCAAGATCTAGCTTTCTGTATAGGCTTACAAATAACAAAACTAGTATATAAATGGTGTACCTTCTTACGACAATTGACACCAAAATACTTTCAATCATGCTTCTTATTTACTAACACCTAATCAAGTGGTTTGCTGTAGAGATGCTAATAATTATTTAACCCGAGAAGTCTCAAGTGGGATTAAGTCATCATAAGGAAGTTATAATGCTCACCTCAACTACTTTTTAACTGATCACCACAAGTTTTCTTCAAAACATTTAATAGCCAAATTTAGTAAGGAATTCAATTATGAGGCAAACAAGAGCGGAAGAAAGTGTGCCTCAAAATAGTTAACGAAATTTTTTTATGAAAAATTATAATAAAAGATTGTTAATTTCAATTCTTAATTCCATTGCTCTTTCGTACAGAAGGCAAATAATATAATTTTATTAATTCCATTAAATAAATTAAACACTTATAAGTACTATCTGAGGTATACTTCACTAATAGATAATGTTTACTTTGTTTTTCTCTTGAGTACTTGAAAATCACTCTGCAACTTCAGTTTGAAAAACATCAAGATTTGTACCTTTGTTTAACTCTTTAAGAGCCACAATTCAATACTTTGCTAATCAAGTTTTTAATAACAAAAAGAAAGCATCCGTAATCTAACAAGAGGTGTGATCAAATCTCTTTGATGTTATTAAACTCATCATTTCCCCAACTGTTTACAGAAAAACAAACAGTTCACACTTCCTGATGAGGCAATGTTCCTTTTATTAAACATAGACATATCTTGGTTAGCTATACTAACTAACTTAACATTAGATTTACTGAATGAATAATCAGCTGCACGTTTATGCAACAGACCATGATGGAAATAGTGGTAATTATGACTGTCAAAACAAAAATGTTAAACTGTAATCAATCCAATAATCAGACATCATTTAAGGGAAATAAGAGCAATAAAACTTTAAAGCACAATGGTTGGAATTTGCATCAGATTAATGACACATTTGCCACATATACTGTGTCCAATTTTATTTACCATAAAACCAGCAATAATAACAGTAGATAAATAATGTACTATATTTGAAGTTTCTAGCTAGATTTTTGAAATTTTTATTTCAAGAAAAACAATTTAACACCATTTTCATCATCTATTTTTTGAAATAATCACCAGTCATAAAATAATTGCAAATACTGACAATGACAGCAGGATGAGCACTAAGTTGTCCATATTTGTGCAGTCACTTACGAGTGGTAGTCAAACAGAGGAATCAGCCAAGTGTACTCTTGTCTGACTGAATAAAATCCCTCTAGTAATTGATTCATACATTTAATTTTATTTAATTACAAATGGACTTGAATATAATTTTTTTTAAATTGAAATATTGCAAGTCAAAAAATATCTGTCGGCTCAAGCTTACCTTAGTCAGATACTGCTTTTTTGGCTATATTGGCTAATCCTTAATTTCCCCTAGTGTGAGAAAGGTGACAAATTTTCTGTAGGCATTCCATCTTCTCTATTATATTCACCACCCCTCCAAAAAGTACGAAATTCAATGTAAATTATTCACTATAAAATCGTCATTGCTCAGACAAACCATAATTTTTATAGCTTTCAATCTTGTTTGGCTACAGACCCATCAGATAGAAAATCATACCCCTCTTGCCACACCTACCTGTCACGTCCTCTCTTTAAGAATTTGTTAATAGTTTAATTCTATATTATCTATAACAAATAGAAAACAAAGGTTTTCCTCTACCAAATGACATTATATTACGTTGTGTTCTGAACAGAGAATTGTCAATTTCTCCTTTAGTACAATCTTAGTATAAATAGATGTATACTGTTATGAATATACAGCTATTAGAGATAAACCAATGTAGTTTCATTTTATAATTTGAAGTCATTCCAGAATGAAAAAATGGGTATTTTAGATTTCTTTCAACTTTCTTTTCTTTCAGTCAAATTGACCAACCTTGTATAAAGTTAGGGTAGAGAAAATAAAAGATAAAGTATAAAGTTTTACTTACAAAAAAAAATTTATTTAGGAGGTTTTAGGGATTACGCAATTAAAATTTGAGACTTCTGAGTCAAAAAAAGTATTTTTAATCTTAACGTATAAATAACATAGCATTAAGACTAGTATATAGTAAATATTATTAGTAAAAATACTTCATTAAGAAGTCTGCCAAATTTTGTGAAGATACATACAGTGTATTAAAAGTTATAGTATAGAAACTATAATGAGTACAAAATGGTTACAAGATTGGTCGATTTGACCAACACTACAGTGAGAAAGTTAACTGTCAGACACAACTATTTGTAATTACTGAAAGAGAGGATGTGTCAGGTGAGCATGGCAAGATGGGCTGATTTTCTATTTTATGGATCTGTAACCAAATAAGATTGAAAGCTATAAAACTATGCTTTGCCTGAATGATGACAACACTATAATGAATAATTTACCTTGGAAGGGTGATAAATACATTAGAGAAGAAGGGATGCCTAGAGAGCAAATGTTACAATTCTCACACTAGGAGAAATTGATGATATTTTTTTTTGTTGCCTTATAAAATCAAAACCTTCAAACTTATATAACATTAAAATTTGGGTTATTAGTTATGTTTTTAAGCCTAATTTATTCATATACCATGATAAAAAGTAGTTAAATTAAAATTTTGAATATAACTCACTAAAAACCTTGTGATGTGCAGTAAAAGTTGGTTATTTTATTAATTAAATCAACTCAAGCAGCAAAGAAAGATTAAAAATAAAATAACTATAAATTTAGTGAAATTAATAAACAACAAGGAATTGTGTTAACTATGCAAAATCCTGTGGCTGAAGGAAAGTTTTAAATATGGAATTTTTCTAATGGACCAGCAGCTGTGGTAGTGCCAAAAGAACTTGTTACATATATTTTTTACCGGTATGTGTTTAAATACAAAGGAGGAAGATATTTATATTATAAAACTTTCAGGAGCTTTTACTTGCATTGTCAAACATAAAATGATATAAATGAAGCAGAAATTATTTTTCATGTTTGGTATAGTTGTGGACAATTAAATAATAGTTGTATAACTGCATAACCTCTACCCTTCTCATAGACTTATTAATGATTAAATCAATACTTTTCAGAAATAAGCATATTTCTGACAAGTAATGCTTCTTGTTTCATCAAAGTTTTCCTTTACACAAATCACCACCACTAACCTGATGTACACTCTCCCCTCCTGATGGAGTAAATGATCCTGGTGTGTCATTGATCTCCTTTGCTGCTTGTTTTAGATATTTGAAGCTTTTCCCTTCTACAGTTCCAAATTTCTGAAATAAAAGGAATTTTGATAAATTATAAAAGTTTGAAAACAGTGGAATATAATTTAACTTTCTTTGGCTGGTAAAAAAGATTTTACATAACAAACTTTATATTCCTAAATTATTCATTTCAGCTTGCAATTACTAAAGAATATGAGATGGGGGTGTTTCTTTCTTAACTGTATACATAGAGATACATTGTGAATCTCTCTTCAGCAGTGAGCACAATGTTTTCAATAAATTCTAAAAATGACCAAAAACTCATGCACTTTTGAATAGTTTACTAGTTTTCTTCAAGCGATTAGAGAGTGATAACTAGTGAGTGCAATGTAATACATAGATAAAGGATGTTGATGTCACATAAGGAGGTATTCCAGTTGAGACGAGCCAATTATAACTGGAAACATTGGTATCAGGTTTAGTTTGTACAAAAGAAATGTGTACATTACATGAAAAATGTAAGAGTGATAATATTTAAAAAGATGTTAAAACAGCTTTCATAGAATAAAAAAATTAAACAAAAAAACATGAGATGGGAAATAAAGAAAATAATAATAAGACTATTATAGAGAAATAAAAATGAATAATAATAATAGTAAATAAATTTGTAACAAGAAGATCAACAATCCCAGGATTGAGATCGATGCCATTTGGCATTACAGTATTTAATAGCTATCCAGTAAGTTTCTTTAATTTCTCTGTTTCTGTTTGTTGTAAACTTTGTCTCTATACCAGTTATCTTAATGTCATCAAGAGATTGACCGGGCATGTTGATATGCTTTGCAATTGAGACTTCTTGGTTCATTCTGATTGAAGATTTCTGGTTATTAAACTGTCCCTATATAGTTGTTCTGATACAGCCTACTTACTGGAAGTTCTGTTTTCAGCAATGGATTAAGCAATTAGCATTTTGTGCAGAGCAGGATATCAGTTTAGTGATTTTAAACTGGCTTTGGCTGTCTATATCTGAAAATTTGTCAGTCTGCTGCATGAACTTACAGGTCTGGCAATATTTGCTATTGCAGGGGTGACTTCCACCAGATGACAAATTAAAGTTATCCTTAGTGTGAACTAAGTGTGGTTTCAAAGTTTTATTTTCCTTAACCCTATTACTACAGGTATCCTTTACTGCGCATGACACAAGATTTTAGTGTCTTACATTCGAAATTTTATTCAACTACTTTTTGTTTATGTTATACCAATTAGTATAGCATAAAATCATAGCTAATTTACATATTTTAATAGCATATGAGTTTAAATATTATAAGGCAATATAAAAAATAATCCTGAATTTCCCCTAGTATGAGAAATGTGACATTTTTTCTCTAGGCATCCCCTCTTTTCTAATTTATTCACCACTCCTCCTTTATGGTAGTGAGGCTTGGTTTGTTCTGAAGATTTATTCGGTGGTAGTGTCCAGGGTCACTGATGAGGAGTGGAATTATCCAAAACTGGTCTGGCCCACAGACACACCCCCACTGAAAGAATAGACCATTCCAAGTCTTTACCTGTTGCTAAACAAATGTTTAAACAACTCTGTTCAATTATGTACCAGCTGACTAGTGTCGGCTAAAAATACGAAGAATTAAATTGTGACGGAATGCTACAAGTTCTTCAAATACC